CATGTACGATTCTTTGACTCTACACCTTGGGTGATGTCAACTGAACTGGAGATGATAAGGGTAATCTATACCTTTTGGAACTTAAGGTATTGTTTTGTGGTTTTGTGTTATGCGTATCTAGGCTTTCGTTTTCCCCCACTTAGCTGGGGAAGCAATAGCCTATATTTGTCATTGACAAATATATGCCATGAGAAAGGATGGGAAAAAAATAAAATATCAATTGTTGTTTTCCATCCTCTGCACAAGTTTTGCATTGTAATGTCTATATTATACTAAATTGATTAAAATTACACTCAAAACAAAAATGGTACAAAATAATTCGTTTGATATTGAAAATCACTCGACTAGTGACAAAATAGTACGATAAGTTTGTGAACTTCACTAGCTTTTGCATGCATGAATTTTCAATAAAGTCTATTTGAATAGAAGCAAATAGTAAATATATTGTTTTTTTTACCTTAAAAAAAAAACCCTCGTCTGATCGATCACTATAGGTTGCTCCACAACCCAAAAAAAAAGAAGAGGAAACGACGAAGAAGGAAATGAAAGAACGAGAAAAACAAACTGGTCGAAATTAGTAGAAGCACTTTTGTATTACCTAAAACCCACCAAATAGCCACAGCGGTTTAGGGGGCAGCCATGGATCGATCTTACACTTCGAAACATGAGGAAAGCAACCCTAAAATAACACGGAAGACTGAAGTAGGTGGAAGAAAAATATACCCCTGCGCACGATTTGGGATCAGGCTGAGGAGAGAAAGAGAAAAAATGAAACCCTAGAAAATTTTGCTTTCGTCGCAAGCTTTATTACCTGATAGAAAACAAGTATTATAATTTGTAGCCAGTTTAGCATGATAATGTGCAAATTTGATTCTATTATCAATGCTTTAGGTACAAATCCCATGATGAACACTTCAATACAGTTTTCCCTCCCCACATATCTTCGAGGGAAAATATATCCGCGCTCAGCATTAGGTGCTCCGTTAATACGTACAGTCAGTGAAACGAGTCAAATCATCATAAGTAACAAGTTCACAACATGTTTCATGAGTCAGGTTCCATAGTTAGTTAGTGAATGTGGGGAAAAGGTTGTTACAAAACATTCGCTATTCTCCACTTGTTGACACCTTGCTGTTACTCCTTCTCGGGGTCACCTCCAAGGGTCCTTGGGTGCCTGGTACAAGGTACCAGCCCCTCTCCAAGGGTCCGATTGTGTTGAAAGGAGTAACCACGAGTAAGTCAAGGCTACAACAGATATAGGCATGAACAGCAATAGTGTTCCAGCAGAGTTTCCACAAGGCGTTGGTACATAGCTTTCACTGAACAAAAAAGAAAATGCACAACTCTTATTACTCTACTCCACTTGAGATGCATCTGTACCCAACCCCTCACTATCTAATTGAACCACACCAAACCACACCAGCTGCAGCAGTGGACCACAAGCTCCATTCGAACCTCCACAGTTTACCTACGCCATGCATTTCACCTGACCCCTCATCATTCACCCTGGACTCACACGTACTCACTTGAACATGCACACCCCATATGTCTCCCCACGATCTCGTCCTCTTCACAAGCTTACCCATACAAGGTGTACTGGATGAATTCCAAAAGGCAAAACCCGTGCACCTATAAGACTCTCAAACAACTCCCATAAAATCCCCAAAAGGCTCCCATATGACTCCCACAGGACCTCCATGGGACTCCTATGGGACTGCCATAGGACTCCCATGAGACTACCATAGGACTCCTGTGGCACTCCTGTGTGACTCCCGTGGGAATCTCGTCCCATGCGATTGCCATGGGACTCCCATGCGACTTCCATGGGAATCCCGTAGGACTTCCATGGGACTGCCGTAGGACTTCCATGGGACTGCCGTGGGACTTCCACAGGACTTCCGCAGGAATTCCATGGGACTCACGTAAGCCTTCCCTGGGCTTCCATGCACCTTCAACGAGCCTTCCATAGAGCTCGCCCCTAGCAAACAAACACGCACACATGCATAGAATTACATTCATAAAAATTCAACTCTACTGCATGTGTGCTCGCTTGTTTCGAGCCTAACGTGACAACAATGTAGAGTCGTGATTTAGCGACAAAAATTTTCGGCAAAACTTTTGTGTTTGAAATTTTCAGCTGAAAATACCAAACCAGAAATGATCTAAAACAAACATTTAACCAACCGGCACGGATGCTGTTGTGAAATTTTATTCCTTGATGCACTTAAAATGTTTTTCCTTGCTATCCTTCCTTAAACAACTCTCCGTATATGTGTGTGTGTGTGTGTGTGTGGGGGGGGGGGGGTGCGTGCGTGCCTACGTGCGTAGGTGCGTGCGTGCGTGAGTGCATGTGTGTGTGTGGGTGGGTGGGTGTGTTCATGCGTATGTGGGGGTGTGTGGGTGTGTGGGTGTGTGGGTGCGTGTATGGGTGCATGCGTGCGTGGGTGTGTGGGTGCATATGTGCGTGGGTGTGGGTGCATGCGTGTATGCGTGTGTGTGTGCGTGCATGTGTGTGTGTTTGCGTACATGCGTGTGTGTGTCTGTGTGTGCGTGTCTGTGTGTCTATACGTATGTGTGTGTGTATGGGTGGGTGTGGGTGTGTGTGTGTGTGTGTGTGTGTGCATGCGTGCGTGCATATGTATGTGTGTGTATGTGTGTGTGTGTAGATGTATGTATGTGTGAGTGTTTGTGTGTGTGTATGTGTGTGTGTGTGTGTGCGTGCGTGCATACGTGCGTGCGTATGTGTATGTGTGCCTGCATGTGTGTGTGAGTGTGTATGTGTGTATGTGTTTCGGTAATTTCGCTGGCAAGTGGCGTTTTGCCTCGTCTGACAGGGTATCCACGCACATGCGTTGAAGATCGTCTTCGCAGCGATAGGCGTATTCGATTGTGGCATTGGGGTTACGTGGATCGGACAGCGGGATAAAGAGTGGCATGGGCTGCGCGCCATAGTAATCATTTGGCGTATGTGGCCTGAGCAATGATGGTTCAAGTCGTTGAGGTTCAGAAGGACCAACGGTTGCAGATGGAACAATAGGCAAAAGATGGTGCAGGGGGGATGTTCGCTGACGGTGGTGGTGGAAAATATTATTCGGAAGCATCAGCTTCATCTTGGGGGGTGGCAAAGCTTCTTTCGCCGCAGTAGTGTTCTGGTGCACTTGCGTCAGCTTTCCAGCCCTGTTCGGAGTCGTCGAGGAACAGTTTCTTGTAGAAGATGCAGTCCCAGGCATTCAAAACCTTTCGACTGTCGTAGTCTATGACAAGATGAATGCCCCTTTTTGCACTGTCAGTGAATCTACCCACTGGTGCACTTGGAGGCTTGTACTGTACTAAGCATCTCCAGACTTGTAGGAGTCTTATGTTAACGGCTTGCCCTTTCCACAGAAGATGTGGAGAAAAGTGCAGTGGATGACAGTTGGCTTTGCAGGATGATAGCTTGTGCCATTGCATAGGATCGAAAATTGGTAGGTAGGCGTGCTTGAGCAAGTGAGACTCGCATCTTCGTCTGCAGAGACATGTTCATCCTCTCCATCTTGCCCTTCTGCTGGTGGGACAGTCTTGCACTTGAGGATCCCTTTTGCCCCAAGATACTCTTTGAATGCGTCACTCTCGTACTCCCGAGCATTGTCTGTCTGTAGTTCCTTTAGCTTTAACCTGTTGTGTCTCTCCCCTATGCGAACCTAGAGTCTAAAGGCATCGAAGGCTTAGCTCTTGTGAGCAAGATTTTTGTGCCACACATAGTGGGTAGCTCCGTCGACGAAGGTCATGATTGTTAGAAATAGACTGCAAATACCACCTTTGTATTTGTACTTTTATATCATAGTTTAGGTTATGAATGTTCTAGTGGGTTGGGGTGTACTCACAAATCCCAACCTCACCCAATTGTGATCCCCCCAATCTCCAATTACCCAATTGGAGATTCCGGAGATCCCAATAGGGATTCCCTCCAATTCCCCCTTCATCCATTCACTCTCACCTTGCCATGTACTTATAGAGCCTTGGGCTCCTTACATAGTCAATCATTTCAACTCTATTTCTTACAATGATGTAGTGATAGTCATCGTCGCTGATGTCGCTAGCAACTTTGTATCAATTTATACATATGCCTTGCATCTATAGTTAGAGTATAGGTTAGATGGGTTCATGCTCTTAGAGAGAACAACACCCAATCTTATATCTTCCTAGAGTTCACTTCGTTACTTGGACATGTTATCACGCTAGGAAGGTCCCACCCACCCGCGCTTCCGCCATAGCCTACCATAGAGTGCCTCGCCCCTTAGAGTGCCCCGCCCGTAGAGCGCTCCTGCCCTAGCTCGCCGTGCATGCCCTAGCCCTCCACTCTGCACTGGCCCTAGCTCGCTGCGTTGGCTCGCCGCGCTGGCCCCTGCTCACTGTGTCAGCCACAGCTCGCTGCACCGCGTTGGCACCTAGCTTGCTACGCCGCCCTGGCCCCTAGCCCGCCGTAATGGCCCTAGCCCACCGCCCTGGCCCTAGCTCGCTGCGTCGGCCCCAGCTCGCCGCGCCGCCCAAGATCGCGGAGCTGCCCCAGCTCGCCGCGTTGCCCCAGCTCGCCGCACCGCCCCAGCTCACCGCACCATCCCCAACTCGCCGCGCCAGCCCCGGCTCGCCGCTCCGGCCCCAGCTCGCCGCGCCAGCCCCTGCTCGCCGCGCCGGCCCCTGCCTGCCGCTGACGCCCCCAGCTAGCCACGCTGGCCCTTGCTCACCGCTGACCCCTGCTCAATACTGGCCCCAGCTCGCCGCCAGCCCTGGTGTCTTCTTTTCGCCGGCACCCTCGCCGGCCGTCTGCTCTCTCGAGTCCTTACGCACTCCACCGCACTCCACCACTCTCCTCCACACTCCACCGCACCCCACTGCTCTCCACCGCTCTCCCTCCACTCCATCACACCCGTTTGCTCCCTGCTCCTCCTCCTCCAGCATTCTAGAACTATTGCAGCTGTGCATGATGGCGGATGCCATTCTCCTCCTTGACGAAGAGGGCCGTGCGGTGGATTTCGAGGCATGGCTCGCTGACCTGCGCTGCTAGCTGAAGGGCCAGCGCTATGATGGCTACTCTTTGGCCTTCCATGTCGACGGTTAGCTGCCCTATCCCCACGCGCCTGCTGCCCTTGCTGACGCCCCCTCGCCTACTGAATGGGAGGCTTTTACAACTGCTGAGCTTGCCCGCTCTGTGTGGGAGTCACGTGAGCCACTGCGCAGCTAGCTATCAGTTACGGCCTCCCACTGTCCGAGCGTCCCCGCTTTCAGGCCCTAGAGATGGTGAAGGAGTATCTAGATGCTCGCTATTCCACTCCCTTCTCTGCCTCTACTGGTTGTCTCCTCCTGCCCCTACTCTTCCTTGACCTCTCATCATTCCCCACTGTTGCTGATCTTGCCACTCACCTGCACGCTCTAGAGACAAGCTACCGTGCTGCTGGCATTGAGGCTTAGCTCACTGTACTTCCTCTCCCCCTCAGCGCCACCCTATATTTCCTAGCCGCGCACCTCCCCGACCCCCTAGCCACTGCCCACGACACATTCCTTAGACTCCACCCCGCTGACCTCACCCTTCAGCAGCAGCAGCAGTCGCCGCTGGTGCAGCAGCAGCAGCAGCCCCCGCAGCAGCACGTATCAAAGGGCTCTAGGGGTGTTGGCGCTGGGGGTACTGAATCTGAGGAGGGTTCTAGTTCTGGGGGTACTAGTTCTGGGGGTGCTGGTCTTGGGGGTGTTATCATGTCAAGTACTGGAGGTAGCCGAGGTGCGGCTGGAGGCCCTGGTGTGGGGGCCTTGGAGTGAGAAGACAGCCCCTACGTCCCTCTCGTGTTCGTCCCGTCTCTCCCGCTCCGAGTGTTCACCCTAGGTCTCTCTATTCTCACGTGTCTCATGCTCCTCCAGCTCGTGTTCTTTCGTCGCATCCTCAATCGTCCCTCTCTATCTCCTCGCCTCCTCTCTCTGACTTCCTCTTATTCCTCGTGCACTAGCCTCTCTTGTTACCGACCCGTCCATTCATGTCTCCAGTCTCTCGGCACTTGTCGCTGTCGTTACTGACTTTGCCTCTACACGCCCCCTTGACTAAGCCACTGCTCTGGTCTCGAACCCTGCCGGTCCTCCGTCCGTCGCGGGTGCACCTGCCCTTGGCAGTGACATCTTAGAGGAGAGGCAGTACTGTTAGGATTAAGGACGGAGTCTAGGTGAACTTAGGAGCTAGAATTACTCAAAATATAAATCCGAAATTCTGGACAGAAAAGTCGTCTTCACAAGAAACGACGTCGACGAAAAACTAGCCGTTGGAATGTCGCAAAACTCGAATATGTTGTAGCTCTTAATCTCAGCTACCGTTCCCAATTTGAATCGTGTTGATTGATGAAGTATTCGCGACGCTATGGCTTTCGACGCACTAGGGGGTAAGCTGTAGGAGGAGAACTTAACTCAATCTCAAGAGTTCAATCAAAGTTCAAGAATCTCACAAGGAATTGGAAGGAGCAAAAGAAAGGTTGGGATAGGAAGAGAGGGATGAGAGGGAAGGTCCCAAGAGAGTCCCCAACCAAGGAAACCCCATAAGCACAAAGATTCCCTCCCTATAGGAACCTCAACTTTGACCTTTGTCCCTTCCCAACCAATCCATCCAAGTTGGCCACCCTTGCCAACCTAGCTTGGTTGTTCCCAACCAATTTTGCAGCTGTTACAGTAGAGTGACAAGTTTCCCCAACCCCAAAGGTCCCAACTCCACATAAAGTCACCCCACAACTTCACTTAGTAACCGCCGCAATTGTAACGCAAGCTCATGAACTTTGAATCTTCATAGCTTTCGCGTTCTTGCTCCGATTGAAGCGATTCTTGTTGCGTCGGAAAGATCTTCTCAAGATCTATTATCACAAATACCTGCTCAAACAAAAATAGCACAAAACACATTCCCAAACTCCAGAACACACCACACACAAATTCTTGCACATTCAAACCACACATGCAAGTTAAAAAAACATGGGATGGGAGGCAGACAGAATGTGATAGCATATGATGACATCACACAACAATCTCCCCCTCTGGCTGCCAACCATCATCGACCATACCACATCTCAAGCATGCATACTCAATGCACACTCATCCCAGCAAGCTTCATGCCCTTCCAATGATCCGCCTCCGCCAGACGCTTAGTGAAAATATCTGCTGCCTGCTGATGGGTCTTCACTATCTCCAGCCGCACCTCCTTATCAAGGAGTCTCCTCACCCAATGCCACTTAGGCCTTATGTGTTTTGTCAGCCCATGCAGACAAGCATTCTTGGCGAGCTTCACAGCGGACTCATTGTCACAAAACACAACTGTCGGCTTCTCCTGACCAACTCCCAACTCCTCCAACAAACGCCTTAGCCACACTACTTCCTTGGCCCCATGGTGTAAGGCCATGTACTCAGTCTCACATGAGGACAATCCCACCTCATTCTGCTTCTTGCTGCGCCAGCTCACAGCACCACCTCCTAGCAAGCACACATAACCCCCAATGCTGGTGCCATCCGCTTTCACTGAGTTGAAGCTAGCGTCAGTACCTTGGGCTGAGGAATTGCAGCCCAATAGCATAATGCAATCTCATCTTCCTCAATCTGCTCAACCACACTCCCAGCCTGCACCACATTTGGCTTGCCTCTTCCCCCATAGGTCAGCCTCACTGGAGGGCGCACATCCCTCCTAGGTCGCTCAGGCGGGTGTGGAACTCGAGGTGGAGACTCATGTTGCTGCTGCTGCTGCTCCACTTCAGCTGCTCCCCCTTCCTCAGTCACTCCAGACATCTCCTCCTCTGACACTGCAACCTCCACCTGTCTTGAAGGCTGCTGCACCTCATCTGCCTCCACAATGAGCGGTGTAGATGGAAGCTTCTGTTGCTGCTGCTTCCATTCCTTGTAGTACAGGGACTCAAGAAACTTCACATCCCTTGACACTGTCAACTTCTGGGTGGTCAAGTCCCATAGCAGCCACCCCTTGTGATCCTTTGCAATCCCCAAGTGCACACCCCATCTTCCAGAAGCCTCCAACTTCCCCCTTTTCTCCTTAGGCACATGAAACACCACCATGCACCCAAATGCCCTCAGCATGTTCACAGCTGGAGCACTCCCATACCACTTGACATATAGGATCCACTCCTTATCTCCAACTGTAGCCAGCACCCTGTTCTTCACAAGGGCGACCTGCCTCAGTGCAGACACCCAAAACGGATCAGGCAGCCCTGCACGCCCAAGGAGAGTGCGTGCCCCCTCCTGCAGGGTCCTGTTAAACCTCTCAGCCACGCCATTCTGCTGCGGGTTGTAGGGCACTGTCAGTTGATGTTGGATCCCCTTCCTCTTCAACTCCCCCTCAAAATCAGCTCCAATGAACTCCCCACCATTGTCACTGCGGATCACCTTCACCTTGTGTCCGCATTCCCTCTGAGCTCTAGGCATCCACTCCTTAAGGACAGCCGCTGCCACCTCCCCCTTGCTCTTCAAAGGGTAAACCCACACTGCCCGAGTGTGGTCATCTACAATTGTCAAGAAATAGCGGCTGCCTGAGAGGGAAGGCGCTCTTGTGGGCCCCACCACATCCATGTGCACAAGTGCAAGTGGGGTCTTGGCTGGTCCTGTAGTGCTGTTGAAGGGGAACTTGGAGAACTTGGTCTCCAAGCATGTAGGGCAGCTCCCAATCTCCTTCACTCCCCCTTTCACCTCCAAGCCCTTCAGGCTCCCATCCTTCACCAACTTCTGCAGCATAGGGAAGTTCACATGACACAGCCTCTCATGCCATGTCTCCCAATCGGCCTCTCCATTCCTTGATGAAGCCTTAGCCCATGCCGCACTCGCATCCACACCAGCAAGCACCTCGCCATGTGTCTGCTGCTGCTGCACTTTCTTGACTGCTTCCAGGACCCCATCAGTTGGTGCAGTTGCATCTCTTCCTGCTGTTGCCTTTGCCGCTGCTGCCGTTGCTGCTGTTGGAGTCTTCCCATTCCATGGGATGATGGGCAGCTGCCACAGGTCCTTGATGCAGCTGGTCTCCTCTTCCAGACTCCACAGCACCTTCTTCCCAAGCTTAGCACGGCAACTGGTTGGTCCAAAGGTCACTTCGGCCTTGCTCTTCTGCAGTCGTCGCACAGAGAGAAGGTTAGCAGACAAGCCTTCAACCAGCAGAACATTCCCAAGCCCCACAAGCTCCCCATTAGCTCCCTTAACCTTGGCATTTCCAACACCAATCACGGGGAGCAAAGCACCTGACGCTGCTGCCACATACTTAATCTTCCCAGGGGGTTTTACCTCATCAAGCAAATCTGCCCGTGGAGTCATGTGACTGGTGCAACCCGAATCAATCACCCAGTGCGTGAGAGGGTGCATCACAACCTTTCCGACAGATCCCACATCACCCTCATGCCCATGTACATCCTCAACCATAAGAAACAAACCAGGATAGGCATTACCTTGTGCACCTTCACCTTGTGCACCTGAGCCTTGCACAGCGCCACCTTGTGCGCGTTCACCACTGGGCGGCTTCATGCCTGGAGGTGCCCATCCCTCCGGCCTACTGAAGCACTTGAACCAAGGATGCCCTATCTTCTTGCAGTACCAGCAGGTGCCCTCCATTCTGGTACTCCCCCTGCCACTGGAGCTTCCATGCCCCTCATTATAGTCACCTCGGCCTCTACCTCTGCCAAAGCTCCTCCCACGGCCTCGGCCTCTCCAACCCCCTCTTCCTTTGCCGCGCCCTGCAGCTCCATACCCCTCAGCAGTCTTCGTGGCAGCACCGCCTCCCACATGGCGTCTACGGAAGTCCTCCTGCAGAATCTGCTGCCTTAGCCACTCAGGTGTCAATTGATCTTGCTGAGAGTTGAGGGTGGGGATGAGGTTGTCCCAAGAGTTGTCCAACACCGAGATGATCTTGGTGCACTGCTGCAGCTGAGATACACTGCTGCCCGCTGCTGCCATCCTTGCATAGGTGTCCTTGATCTTGTCAAGGACCGGCTTCACATCGTCCCCCGGTCGCATGGAGATGGCAGCAAGTTCCTTCTCGAGCACGATCACCATCGGGAGAGTGTTGGGCTGAACCACATCACGTAGTAGTTTCCACGCCCTTGGACCCGAATCATCCGCTTCCACAAGATCCTTGATGTGCTCGAACATCTCCTTGTTGACCGATTGAAGAATGAGGTCGAAAAGCACCGCGCTTTTCTCAATCCACCGTTCGCGTGCTTCGCCTTCCTCGGGCATCTTCTCCTCCCCAACAGAAATCTTCAGTAGCTTGTAGCGTTTGAAGGCACTCCTCATCCGCCCGCTCCATTCCTCATAGTTGGAGCCATCCAAAGCTTCAACTTTTGATGGCGGCGGCTCACTTGTCTTCTCAGCTACAGCTCCTCTTCCATTAGCATCTCCTCCTCTCTCATTCATCTTCTCCTTGAGAAATGACGAATTTCAGCTCCCCTTTGCTGTCCACACTCAGCTCCCTCGATATTTTCACAAGTGTCGGCGTCCACGAAATTTCGGCAGAGTTTCCCTTAGCGGAAGACACATCCAACCTTTAGAACACCACTTAGGCACACCCACAGGCCATGGTGGGTCTAGAAGGGTCTTCACACTTCAGTAGACTCCTCTCAATATCCTTAATATGGCTCTGATACCAGTTGTTAGGATTAAGGACGGAGTCTAGGTGAACTTAGGAGCTAGAATTACTCAAAATATAAATCCGAAATTCTGGACAGAAAAGTCGTCTTCACAAGAAACGACGTCGACGAAAAACTAGCCGTTGGAATGTCGCAAAACTCGAATATGTTGTAGCTCTTAATCTCAGCTACCGTTCCCAATTCGAATCATGTTGATTGATGAAGTATTCGCGACGCTATGGCTTTCGACGCACTAGGGGGTAAGCTGTAGGAGGAGAACTTAACTCAATCTCAAGAGTTCAATCAAAGTTCAAGAATCTCACAAGGAATTGGAAGGAGCAAAAGAAAGGTTGGGATAGGAAGAGAGGGATGAGAGGGAAGGTCCCAAGAGAGTCCCCAACCAAGGAAACCCCATAAGCACAAAGATTCCCTCCCTATAGGAACCTCAACTTTGACCTTTGTCCCTTCCCAACCAATCCATCCAAGTTGGCCACCCTTGCCAACCTAGCTTGGTTGTTCCCAACCAATTTTGCAGCTGTTACAGTAGAGTGACAAGTTTCCCCAACCCCAAAGGTCCCAACTCCACATAAAGTCACCCCACAACTTCACTTAGTAACCGCCGCAATTGTAACGCAAGCTCATGAACTTTGAATCTTCATAGCTTTCGCGTTCTTGCTCCGATTGAAGCGATTCTTGTTGCGTCGGAAAGATCTTCTCAGGATCTATTATCACAAATACCTGCTCAAACAAAAATAACACAAAACACATTCCCAAACTCCAGAACACACCACACACAAATTCTTGCACATTCAAACCACACATGCAAGTTAAAAAAACATGGGATGGGAGGCAGACAGAATGTGATAGCATATGATGACATCACACAACAAGTACGAGCTAGCTTTTCTGTGAGAGGTCGTTCCTCATCTCTGCTCCATGCTGCTAGCCCCTGAGGGTGACTCTGACACTTTTGATATCCCGACACCTCCACCTACGGTGAGGCGACTTTGGGACCTTGGGCCTCTCGGTGGATAGCTGCCATGGACGTTGAGATGGCATCTTGGAGATCCACCGTCACGTACGTCGACGCAGAGATGGGATCTTGGAGATCCACCGGCACATACAGTGGCGGAAACAATTGTCCGTATGTTTTGCATAAATTTGGGCTTTTAGGCTTTAAGACCACTATACATTAAGCCTTAATGTTTAATGGTGGTACGATTTGGGAGGGGAACACAATGGATGTGTTCATACCACAAATATCCAGAATAGTACATTGGATTTAAGTCATATCCCAAAAGATATACCAAGGGTACATCCGGACAAATAGTTCCAAGCAGGGGGAGCAAACTTCAAAAGTGTGCTTCCAGTTCCTAGCCCACCGACCTATGGCCTTTATCACTCCCGCACCCTCCTAGGTGAGCTGTCGATGAGGCTAGAGCAAACCTCGGCATGGATCTTCTCCCATTCTTCCTTGACCAGCTCTGAAAGCTCTAGCATTCCAGAGGAAGGCCTTTTATGCTTGGCTAGCTCCCTTTTCACGTAAGCCCATAGGTTGAGGTTTCATGAGAAAGAAGGCCACTGCAGGGCTACATACTCATGTTCTCCAAGCCATTCATGCACTAGGCATAACAAATTCTTGGGGTCATTGTCCGCACCGAGATGACCTCAGAGGGAAAAATGCTATACGAATGGAGGGTCAATTCGAGTTCGTCATGCAAAATGCCCTCATACAAGGGCCTCTCCATGCGTTCGTCAATCTTGCGTATGAACCCCACCCCCGCACATGTCACACATCCCCACACCATCACCGATCCTTGTCCCCATGGTTTAACATCTGTTTGATTTGGTGGTATTGCAGGGTTGTGCCTTCACAAATCCAGGCAAACGCGCGACCATTGGAGCTGAAGCAGTTGATGTTGGTCCCATTTGACCAGATCACATGCTTTCGAACACTAATTGTTCACTCAGCATGCGACTCCACGAATTGCAGTCGGCCCCTGATAATTTTCCAGAATAGTCATAACTTCTATGACTGCTGCACCGTGACTAGACCCGCAGACCCTAGTGTGCTTTTAATGGTGCAAGGGTGCACAGTCAACCGTGCAACGTTACCCTTAGTTTCGCGGTGTCTACATTAGATTTGGCCGCTCTATTCATCATTTTACCCTACAAAGGTAGGATGAAGACGATCCGTGATAAGATGGGCGTGACCGGCTAATTGCATCTTTGGCCACACCTCAGCATGGCTAGTCTCAGAGATAACATTCAATCCAAATTCGTCCACAATACTCTTGCCTACGCCCAACTTTTTTTTCGCGATTTTCATAGTGCTCACCCCCTTATGCTAAATTGTGGGTCCAAGAAGAGTGCAAGAAGTTCTCTGCCGAGGTTTGTACTAACCTCGTAGGTAACATGCCTAGGAGGGTGTGGGTGGTGATCAAGGCCAAAGGTCGGTGGGCTATGTACCAAATACACAGTTCTGAAGTTTGCTCTCTGTGCTTGGAAATATTTGTCCGGATGTACCCTTTGTATATATTTTGGGATATGAGTTAGATCCAATGTGCTGTTCTGGATATTTGTGCTATGAACATATCCACTATGTGCCCTTTCCAAATCATACCATCATTAAACATTTAGGCTTAATGTATAGTGGTCTTAGAGCCTAAAAACCCAAATTTATGCAAAACATACGGACAATTATTTCCGTCACTGTACGTCGACGCAGTTCCCCCACCTGGGGCGAACCTAGTTGATGGGCTTTGGCTCTTCAAGGTGAAGCGCCCTCCTGGAGAGCCGCCGGAGTTCAAGGTGCGCTACATTGCTAGAGGCTTCAGTTAGCGCGAGGTGGTTGAATTCTTCCAAAACTTTGCCCTGACCCTGAAGACGACCACTCTTCGGGCGATTCTTCACAAAGCAGTACAGCGAAAATACGAGCTTCACTCGTTGGACTTCTCCACAACTTTCCTCTAGGGCAGTCTTCACGAGCAGATCTACCTTTGCCGTCCGCCAGACTTCTCTGGTACTTTCCCTCCTGGGATCGAGTGGTTCCTCCGGCGCTCGGTTTACAGTGTGCGGCAGGTGCCCCGAGAATGGGACGACACGCTGCGTGCAATGCTAGCAGACCTTCAGTTCTTTTCGTCCTCTACTGACCCGTCTCTCTTCGTTTGCTCACGCAAGACTCCGTTTTTCATCCTAGTCTATGTAGACAACCTGGACTTCGCTACTGTAGACGGAGACGCGCTAGCCTCGGTGAAGACCGAGCTGCTGGGGAGACACACCTGTACTGACCTAAGAGAGCTGTGCCGCTACCTTGGGCTGCAGATCTCCAAGGACAGAGCAGCATGCACCATCACTCTCACACAGTCACACTTGGTGCTCGAAGTCCTTCAAAGATTCGGCCTTTAGTTCTCCTCCGCACATCGTACCCCTCTACCTGTTAAGCACAAGCTCTCGGCTCCAATTCCTGACGAGCCGGTCGAGCCTAGTGGTCAGTATGTAGAGCTTGTGGGCTGCCTCATGTACCTGATGACTTGCATTCATCCAGATCTTGCTTACCCTCTTAGTATCCACGCTCTCTTTGTAGCGACATGCAAACACCGACCCCAACACTAGAGGGTGTTGCGTTATCTAGCAAGTACATCGGGCATAGGGCTAGTCATGGGAGGATGCAGACCAGTGATTCTCACACTGCACAAAGATGCTTTGTGGGCGGACGATGCTTAGATGCTCAGGTCCTTCCAGGGCTACTGCTTTCACCTTGGTGGAGGCGCTATCTCATGGAGGTCCGCCCACACGTCGTCTGTTTCACAGTCCAGCTGTGAGGCTGAGATCTATGCTAGTGCTATGGCGGCATAGGAGCTCCGCTGGCTAACGTTCCTGCTCACTAACTTAGGTGAGTGGCATAGCTCTACCCCGGTCCTGTACGCTGACAACAAGGCCATGATCCTCACTTGCTAGGACCCTGACTTGTGTACTACTCCTTATATTTTCTTGACTGGCCTTGTGGCTCTTGTCTTAATGGCAGGGCTAGTAGTGCCACCCTGAGTTACTCTCGTTCAGTCTGTACTCTTGCTGATTGGTCTTCGGACCCCTGCCTCGGAGGTTGGACTAGTAGTGCTACCCTGAGCTGCGTGTTGCGTGCTAGGCACTGCCCTTGATCTAGCTTAGGGGATGTTTCATCTTATACATACAGTGGCGGAAACAATTGTCCGTATGTTTTGCATTAATTTGGGTTTTTAGGCTTTAAGAGCACTATACATTAACCCTTAATGTCTAATGGTGGTATGATTTGGGAGGGGAATGTAGTGGATTTGTTCATAGCACAAACATCCAGAATAGTACATTGGATCTAACTCATATCCCGAACGATATATAAAAGGGTACATCCGGACAAATATTTCCAAGCAGAGAGAGCAAACTTCAGAATTGCGTATTTGGTACATAGCCCACCGACCTTTGGCCTTGATCACCACCCACACCCTCCTAGGCATGTAAATTACGAGGTTAGTACAAACCTCGGCATGGAACTTCTTGCACTCTTCCTGGACCCACCATTTAGCATAAGGGGTGAGCACTAGGAAAATCGCGAAAAAAATTGGGCGAAGGCAAGAGTATTGTGGACGATTTTGGATTGAATGGTATCTTTGAGACTAGCCATGCTGAGGTGTGGCCAAAGATGCAATTAGCCAGTCGGGCTCATCTTATCACGGATCGTCTTCATCGTAACATTGTAGGGTAAAATTACGAATAGAGCGGCCAAATCTAATGTAGACACCATGAAACCGAGGGTAACGTTGCACGGTTAATTGTGCACCCTTGCACCATTAAAAACACACTAGGGTCTTCGGGTCTAGTCATGGTGCACCAGTCATAGAAGCCATGACTGCTCTTGAAAATTATTAGGGGCCAGCTGCAATTCGTGGAGTCGCATGCTGAGTGAACAATTAGTGTTTGAAAGCATGTGATCTGGTCAAATGGGACCAACATCAACTCCTTCAGCTCCAATGGCCGCGCATTTGCCTGGATTCGTGAAGGCACAACCCTGCAATACCACCAAATCAAACATACGGTAAACCATGGGGACAAGGATCAGTGATGATGTGGGGTTGTGTATCATGTGCGGAGGTGGGGTTAATACGCAAGATTGACGGACGCATGGAGAGGCCTCTGTATGAGGGCATTTTGCATGACGAACTCGAATTGGCCCTCCATTTCTATAGCATTTTTTCCTCTCAGATCATCTTGGTGCGGACAATGACCCCAAGAATTTGTTATGCCTAGTGCATGAATGACTTGGAAAACATGAGTATATAGCCCTGGAATGGCCTTCTTTCTCATCAAACCTCAACCTATGGGCTTACGTGAAAAGGGAGCTAGCCAAGCAGAAAAGGCCGTCATCTGGAATGCTAGAGCTTTATAGTGGTTTTAAAGCCTAAAAACCTAAATTTATGCAGACTATACGGACAATTGTTTCCGCCACTGTATGCTTTGCATGTAAAAGAGCACTACACCCAACCTTACATCTCCCTGTATGCCTTCCTAGATTTTACTTCATTACTCTTACACTTCGTTCATAAACAAGATATCACTGAGAGCAACGTCGAGTTTCTTGTACTGTTATGCGCTGGGGAAATTCGAAGGGGAAGGATTGTTAAGCATTCGAGCGATTGAGCAGACGGTGCACCCATTTTGTAGAGATG